AATAGGAAGAAAAGGTCCAAAGGGGTAGGGGTAGTGGGAGGGGCAGGGGAAAGGAAAGAAGGGAAAGGAAAAAATACTGAGAAATGGAAAAAATGGAAATAAAGTCTTTGTAAATAGGGATGGGCGGAGGGTGTGAAGGGAGGGCTAGGAATGGGGAAAAAATAAGAACCAAGATGCATTATGTAAAGGTACAATTTCCAATGAGAATTGTAATTGTGTTGTATACCTACAATGTACCAATAAAAGAATTTAACATAAAAAAAGAAAATATTTGTAAAGTTTTCTATTGAAAACAAATTAGCAATTCTTCATTCACTATCAAAAAAATTTCAAGCTCTGTGGCCAGATGTTGTCAAATAGTTCAAATCAGTGGTTCATAAACTTGAATGTGCATCAAAGTTATTGGGAGGGCTTGTTATCATAGATTTCTGGGTTCATCAGAGACTGAAGTAGCGCCTGTGGTTCTGTGTTTTTAACAAACTTTAAGTGATGCTCATACTTAAAATGTGAGGCCCGCACACTGAGAATTACTTTCATGAGCAATGGAGATGATTCTTATTTTAAATAAGAAATCTTGTGATGAGACAGGTCCATAGTTGTGTAGTTAAGCACCTCAAATATTCTGTTTATCAGCTTTGGTTTTTTTTTTTTTTGCCTCCTATCATGTTCACAGCATAGCTGCTGCAATGGAATGTAACTCATGGAGAAATAAGAATATTCAGTGAATATAGAAGGGCAATATTTTCTGTTGTGCCTATTTAAATTCAATCTTCTAGATCCCCTAGAAGATTTCTTATTGGCCACAGATGCATCCTATGTCCAGCCCGAATCAATCACTAGCAAGAGGGGTGGGATTATCATGCTACATTTGGATTAACTATGATTAACCTTTGAGGAGATGGGGTCACCTTTCTAGGCACATTGCTAAGTGCAGGAGGGTAAATATAAAAATGCAATCCTGACTCAGCCAGAAAGGGAGAGCTGGAAAAAGGGCTTTGGGCTGGTAACCAATAGCGTCTTCTCTACTAAATACTCATGGACTATTAGAGTTTAGCTTGATAACAGTAAGTGTATTAATAATAAATGTCCACTCCTCATTGCAGTCTGTCCACTGCTCAGGGAAGATCCCAGTTAATATTCTGTATTGTGATGGTGTAATATAAGTAGGCTGCTCTTAGAAGAGAATAACTTGCTCCAAAGAAATAGGTTAACTCCCCTCAGGTGAAAATGAATTGTATTGGACATATTTAAAATAATATCTAACCTAGTTTATTAGGAAAAAGGCTTTATAATTTTGATTTTTCTTGCTAAAGAGAAGTTGAAACAGGCTACATGCCTAGCCACCTATATGATAATGAAATTTCTAGGAGGGATAGAGGGAGCATGAGGTGACCAAGACTTGTTATCCATAGAGGAAAGATTTTCTGTCCCTGTTTTCCCTTAATCCCTTTTTTCTCCTTGTCCTTATTTGAGTCATTCTCAGGATACAATACTAAACAAACTGGAGATTTGGATATTAGGGCCAGAGGAAAATTGCAACAGTACTTCAAAGAAAACTACAGATGAATTCAATGTATTTATTTCAGAATGTGCATGGATTTCTCTGTCTGTCTTTGAGATGTGAGAACTGGCTTGTTTCCCTATGTCAGGTGATAAGGAGCCCTTAGGCATGAGATAAAGTAAACCCTTGGCCTTTAGAGATGGTATCTTAATACTAGCGAACTCCTAAACTATAATGAGATAATAAGGAAATGATATGTTTTGCATATTTATGAATTTTATTTTTAATACAATTTAATTGCAAATTTATATAAATTTATTTTTAATAATGGTGTTTAACTGCCTCACACATTTCTTTAAAACTTATGAGCTAGTATGAACCAGCTCCAGCAGACCACTGGCTGTATTATAGTACCTAGGGTGGTAGGCGTTTAAAACAAGGCCAGGGTCTTGTTTCTTCCCTCTGCAGGGTCTCTACTTCATTCAAATTCCTGATGCAGAAGGGAAAGGAGTGGGGAGTTGGAATTGGATCACAATTCTATTCTTATCTGGAGCCCAGTTTCAAGGGTCTATTTCTCTAGATACCATGATCCTGTGTTTCCAGGTTCTGAGTATTCTAAGTAAAAGTCAACTATAATTCACATCATAAAATAATAGGTCCAAACCAAATGTGACATTTTTTTCCCTGTATTTGTATAAACATCTCTGATCTAAGGCTATGCCTGCCAGTAAGAGTAAGAGCAGAAAGATAAAAACAAGATAGAATCATTGGTTGGATAGGAGAAGAGAGAATAGGCATGGAACAATACTTTTACCCTTTTTGAACTTAAACAATTTTATAAAAATAAAATAAATTTTTTATTGGCAACCAGTTTTTACAAAAAGACTTCAGATTTCATTTCTTAAATACATCAATTATATAGTTCTGTATCTCAAGAACCAGAAATTCAGGCAGTATTTTGAGGTTTGTCTTATTAATTGGTCTCTAACAAAACAGGTACAACTCTCATTTGCTCTTTGGTGAATTTCTGAAATGTATGAATTATACGAGTAACTGGGCATAATGGATAGATGGGGGCATAGATCTGCAGGTCAGTGTGTGAGGTTTGACAACAATGCCCTTAACACAGCAAACACATTCTCTCTCTTACACTTCTCTCTCTTTTCTAGCAGACTTTTGAGGGAGAGATAGAAATAACATTGCAGGGAGGACCAAGTCCTTAGAAAAACATAAACATCATAAGGAGGAAATTTTCCAGGTGGCTTACACTCAGCTTCAGTATCTAATAGTTAAGAAGCAGCAGTGGTTCTAAGTACATCTGCCTCTATGGTCTGTGAGGAAGAAGGAGGCATGTAAAACACAAAAGGATCAGTACACATTTAAGCTCCTTCTCTGGGTAACCATTATGCATTTTTAGAAGCTTATGTGGATTGTCTGTTTACCTCTCTTAAATATGTCTATCATATCCTGGAACCTGGAATGTCCCCTTACTTTGAAATGGGCTCTTAATAGACATAATTAAGAATCTCAATATAAGATGATACTAGACTCTCTTATACTTAACAGGCACATTGAGAAAAAGATCAGAGCAGGTGAAGGTGGAAGCAGAGATGTGACTTGTGGTGCCACAATCCAGCAACACCTGGATCCTCCAGAAGCTGGCAGTGACAAAAACAGACTCCTCTTTAGGGCCTTTATTGGGAGCATGAACCTGGTACCATAGTCTCAGACCTTGGCTCCAGATTGTGAGTACAAAATTTTCTGTTCTAAACCATCCAGCTTGTGGTCATTTGTAATAGGAGTCCCATGAAATGAATGCTACGCTGAATGACATAAGATTTTTTAAAATGCTGTGGATTATTAGGGAACCACTAAACTTTACTTTATTGGTTAGGGTTCTCTAGAGGAACAGAGTCAATGGAAAATATGTTATAATTATGCAAGGGGATTGTTTTAGATAGGCTCACAGAATCAGAGGAAGGAGAGTCCACGATGGCTATCTGAGCACTAGAGAGCTGGAGGATCCAGTAAGTTCTCATCCAAGAAGATGGAAGCCACAGAACAAAGGGAACCAGGGATACAGCACCAGTCCAAGATCTGGAAGTTAACTGGATGGTCTGCATCAGAAAGCTGAGGAAACTGAAGACTTGAGGACCGATGACCAAAGGATGAATTATTCAAGAAGACTGCAGCTCTTTAGCATAGGGAACAGTTCCTTCTTTATTTTTCCTTTTTATTCCATCCAGGCTACAAGCCTGTTGGTTGGTGCTACCCACACCCAAGATGTGTCTTCCTCCCTGGATTTGTTGCCTACATGTTAATTATCCACAGACACACCCAGCCTGTGCTTTTCTAATCTCCTAGGCATTTCTTAATCCATTCAAGTGGACATATCATGATTAACAGTCAGATATGCCATGAAAGACTATGTAAGAACTGGCCACAAGAAAGTCAATTTCAGCTGGAGAAGGAGACAGTGGAAATCTGGGGATAAAAACTGATGCCTCTATGTCTGCAGTGGTGCCAAGAGTGAACATTTAGGAGGCATTGCAGGCTAAGTATAGTCACAGCTACCACCAACCAATATGGCAGCCCATTGAAGTGCAAGTGTGTGGTAAGGAGAGCCACACTGGACACTGGAAGGTGTGAAAGGTGGAAGTGGCAGAGGACCTGGTGAGCCAAAGTCCTGAGAGTTTATGAGGTGTGAACACAAAACATACTGAATATTTAAATAAAGATAATTTATCACAGTGAAAGATACATTGCCATTAATTCCCCTCAAAATACTTCTGACATCTAACATACTTTCTTCATCATTCTTGACACTTTCTGAAGCAGTTCTGGAAGTCTTCTTCCACGAGTGTCCTTACTTGTGGTGCTGTGACTGCTTCAGTGTCCTAAATCAATTCAAGAATTTACCTTTCATGGCCATTTTGACTTTGGAAAAGAGCCAGAAGTTGCATGGGGCCACGTCTTGTGATCAAAGTTGAGGAGGGCACAGTGTAATATTTTTACAAGCTGCCTTTCCACTGGATGGTACTTCACAGCATTATTTGCTGTATTTTTCACCACACTTCCTAAGAAGACAGCCAGTCACAAAAGAGAACTTCTAGGTCTGCTTCAGAAAGTGGCAAAAACAATGGAATAGTATGTTCAGAGTGAGGGGGAGTATTTTGAAGAGCATTAATGACAATGTGTCTTTTACTGTAATAAAATTTTTAAAAATTTAAACAACACACTGTATGTTTTGATTAGGCCTTATAGAGGATGTATTCCTGCTTATGACATCCAAAATCCTGCAGAAAGGCAAAGGGGTGGGATATTGTGAGTTGACAAGTAGAGACAATTCATCCAAAACACTTAAAAACAAATAATTAAACTAAGCTTGCTGGGACCTATAATAAATTGAAAGTTTCAAAGATTTAGTCATATGTTAGTCACATTTAGTTATTTTTAGTCATGTGTTTTATTTAATGATTAATAGAACTAATCGTGCTACTGCATTTTCCACGTTACTATGAGAATACATTATTTTTTGTTCCTACTTTTAAAAATTGTTGTGGTCCCCATGGACAGAATCTGTGCATTGCTACAGTATTTTCTAAGACAAAAAATTGAAGACATGCTGAAAATAATGCTGTACTGCTTTTGGTAGTATATGGCAGGCAGGCAGGGAGGCAGATATAGTTTGGATGACAGAAGGCTGAAAATTTCAAATTATGATGGGGCTGGGCAATTCGGCATAATACATAAAACTGGCATTCTCCCAGCAAGCCCAGATGGTGGAGACGAGGCATTAGCAGCTCTTATTTTCTTAGCTTTGCATGAGTGAGACAGGGAAAAAGTCAACAATGCATTTGTTTTTATCAAAATATAATTCTAATCAAAATGGGTTTCATTAATTAAATTTCTAATGAATGATATTCAGACTGCTATAAGTTTCTAAATGAGAAAGTAATTGGCTAAAGATGTTACCGCTACCACTCAGAGTTTAGGGATTCAGAGCCTGATACATCATGATGAAGCTTCAGGTACTACTGGAGGCATATGATTCAATCTCTTGCCACAGGCTGGAATAGAACCTGGGTTGTTGAGTTCCAGTCTACTGTCCTTTTACCCTTCCACATTCTTTAAGTGTCCTTGTCCCTCTACTCACAGCCTTGTTCCCGGTCACTTTTTGTAGCCCTTTATTGCTTATTGTTCACATCAGCCCTTTCTCAGCTGCCTATCACAGGCAAAACTTTACCTCATTAACACATAGCCCATTCTCCCTGAAAGACCAGGTGGGCAAAATAATCCATTCCTCAGTTCTCAGATATTCTGGGCTTTCTTCCTTAGAGTCTCAATTCAGAATTAGAATTATTTACCACAAGTACTTTAATAATTTTTGGCAAAGAAAGAAAGAAGAAAAGCACATGAAGAAGGTTTAATTAAAAGCCCAAAGGTTTTTTTTAATACCTGATTAATACGATTGGTAAAATGGGGAAAAGTAAGAACCAAGATATATCATGTACAGGTACAAGCACCCAGTGATAAATGCAAATGTATTGTATACCTAAAATGTACCAATAAAGAATTTAAGGAAAAAAATATGACTGGTAATGAGTAGAATCTGTATGATGTTTTATGGCACAAAGTTTGACATACGAAGGAAATATAAGATTTTGGAGTCAAGAAGATACGGCTTCATTGCTAAATCAAGCACTCTTTCTTAAGTCTGTGCTACAGTTGGATGAGCACCCTGAGAAAAATTTTTATAGCAGGATAATATAGACGTTATTTTCCTGTCAGCTCAACAAGATAGAATGACAGAAGAGAGGAATAAGGAATATTTGGCAGAAAAAAACACAGTTATTACACTTCTGTCTTTTTTTTTTTACCCTTTCCTGAAACCCCTGGGGCAATTGAGATCAACAGAAAGCCTCTGAAGTGTCACAGGAACATTTCCGTGTCTACTGACTTACACCAGAATATCACTCATTGTCTTGGGAGCCTTGGGATGGCACTTGCTCTGTGAATTCCATATACTCAACCAGCACTGAAAGCAGGAGGATGTCCTGTAAGATGATAGTGGTTATAATCCAGTGCCTCTGGAATCCTCCTGCTTCTACCTTTGCAGATTCAGCACAATTCATTGCTCCTCTTGAGTGAGACACACAGATGCTGCTGTGTTTTTGGGTCTTCTCATAGTCATGGAATGCAGAGTGTTATGTCCAGATTGCGAAGTCCCAAAGACCACCAGGAAGCCGATTCCGATGTAAGCACATGAGGGCCGTTTATTCAAGCTCGAGCAGGGGCTCCCAACCATCAACGATGCAGCGGATCAGAATTGAGAGCCCTAAATTTCAAATTAGTTGGGTTTTTATTGTGGTTACAGCAAGGTTTGGAGATTTTTCACTTAGCAGTTACATGATTGGTTGCCATTTTGCAAGCATGAAGTGTATATTTCTGATTGGCTAGGCCCATCGGGGGTTTGAGGGGCGGTTACATGTAGGTTTTACGGGGGAAAAGAGGGACAAAGGTTAGTGGTCCACTGTCACGTACTGATGGTCAGCACATTGACAGATCGTTCTATAGATAGTGGACCCGGAACGTTCATTTCCTGGGCAAACAGATGGTTGAGTAATTAACTTAGGAACTTTGCTTCGTTACAGATTGTGTCTTTTGTCCCAGAGCAAGCACATTTTAACCATTAATTTGTGAGGACAATAGAGACTAGGGGAACAGTGGATTTTAGCAAAATGGAGTCGCTTTGGTCTCACACAGAGTTAGAAAACGGAACAGGTTGCCAGGTGCTAGAGTCTTAGTTAAGATTCAGCACTGGTTGTTTGGGAATAATACAACTCAGAAAGAAGTAGTTGTGGGAGCCTACCTTTTACCATCAATAGAACCTAGTGCTTTTCTCCAAACATACTCCACTGTGAAAAATAAACGAGGGAGGGTGGCTTAAAATTGCTAATAGCCCTTATTCTCTCATTCTCAATATAAAGAGCTCAGAAATGAGCCAGGACTATGTGCTAAGAGCTACTACCTGAACGTGTTTCTCTAGTTACTATTGTCATGACATCTTACGTGCCTTATGTGACTGGCGTCATCGTTGTTGTCATCGTCATCATCATCATCATCATCATCATCATCATCATCATCCTTATCTATTCAACTCCTTGGATGAAATAACATTTGCCTTTCCAGACTGTCTGTTGGTTCTTAACTCAAGGATCCACTTCCTCATTTATTGTTACCTAGAAGTTTCAATCTCATTGGTGTGTGAACTCCTCCAGTTAACTAATGAGGGGGTGTTTTTATGGTATCTGTTTACACACAGACATGAGCCAAATATATGAGAAATTCTTTGTGATTATGATTTGAAATTTATTCAGAATAACTTGTAAATCTGTCTTCCTCCCAGTAATAATAATAATAATACACTGTCTTTAAATTTTCTCTAATAATTTTCTAGAATTTCTGTTCCAGGTCATAAGCAGAAAATACATCAGCAATAACCACTGCAGTAAAAACAATATATTTTAAGCTTTTCCATTATAGCTAAATTACTTAATGTCATCTTGTTTAAAATAGTCTCCTTTGAATAAACTCTGTTTCTTCCAGTTTAAGAGTCTTCATTTAGTAAACTCAACATTGTTTTAGTAAGCTCTGTATTTCAAGTGTTTTCTCTCTTCCTCTTTTCATTCCTTTTTCTTGTGTCATCAGAGTACAGAAGAAATTGTGCTCAACTTCACACTATTGTTGTGGTGGGCTTGGGCACTTCTGTTGACATTGTTGATGGGCTTCCTTTGAAGCAAAGCTTATTTCAGCTGGGGTGTTTGGATGTTGGTGTCTTTGTCTGCTACATCTTCAGGTGGTATGTTTGAAGCTTAGTGAACTTGTTTGAGGCTTAGTGAAATTCAACAACTGGTGCTGGGGGAACTTTCACATCTCTTTCTACTTTGTTTCCTTACTTTAGTTTCATCAGGTGCTACTGACTCTTAGGACTCAGAAGGTTCCCCTCTCTCCTGTGTTTGAGCTGTTCCAGTTCTCAGCCTGAACTTCGCACCCCTCATACAGTGGCCTGGGGATTTCTGAATCTGTCACACCATGAGCAAGCAGAAGAGGAAGAGCAATATTTCTGGACTATTCATCAAGACATCTCATTCCACAAGTAATATGCTAATTTTGCAACAATTTGGATATGAGGAGGGGAAGCAGAACAGAAACTTAGACACTTTTGGATACTCTTTCCAGTTACATGGCTTGTTTGTTGTTATTGCCACTGTTGAGCTTCTGTCATCTTAAAATTTCTACCCACTGTCCCTCTAGCCCCATACTCAGAGTATTAAGTCACTGAGTTTCAGAGAATTGACAACCTTACTTTTGTCTTATCCCTTTGAATTTTTTTCTGGAATGAGTTGCTTCTTTCTTCCAGAGGCCAGAGGGATTTGTATTCTTCCTTCCTCTGTGTCAGAAGCTGTACCTCCATCAAATTCTCTCTGAATAATGTTCTAGGCTCATACCTCCAAGCTTTGCTCTTGATATGTAAAAATAAAGCTTTGGAATTTAGCAAAGCATTGTGTCCCTAAACAAAGCCTGGCTTTCCAGATGGTTATGATATGGACTCAAGAAACAATTTTTGATGTTTAAGGTTAACAATGATTTCTTTGTTCTAGGCAGCATCTGACTTTGTTAAGAAACAAAAAGGCATTCAACCAGAAGCCAGAGGCAACATGATTTATGGGGTTGGAAGAATCATTGTTTTAACCATCTCAAAATAGAATCTTCTCTATAAGAGCAAGGATCATGTTTCATTTCTGAATGCTACTGCCTAGCTCAGCATCTGCTACACAGCAGGCACTCAATAAATGTATCTTGGATGAAAGGAGAGTTTTTTCAGACTATACTTTATAGCACGTCTTTGGGTAAGCCAGTTTATGTCAAATTAACTAGAGAATATCTGTGAATGGATGGAACAAGTCTGTTGTGGACTTGGCTGATGTGTTGCCTCACATTTGCTCAGTCCCACCTAAACCCTGACCTAGGTTAGTCACCACATTCCTACCGTGATGATCTTCCAAGGGCATCATCGGAGAGGCTATTAAAAATCCAAATTTCCTGCCTCACCCTGAAGTAGGATAGAAGAAACAAATATGTACAAAAAAGACGAAGAAAATAATAATTTAAAAATCATACTTTTAAGAACACTGCAACATCAGGACACAATCAAAATTACACAAGGTTGTCCACATCTCTACTCCCTAGGCTTGTTTATATTTCCTTTCTTCCAGGCCCATTACACCCAAAATTCCTTAAATATTCTATAAACCCATAAACTAGCTTAGTTGACAGAGTAAAGGTCAGGAAAGTGATCTGAAGATAAACAGATTGGAAGATTTCAAAAGGTGTTTTTAGGCCAAACAATTAGGTCATCCATTAAAAAAAAAAAAGCACCATGGACTAGGCCCTGCCTTTCACCTATAAAATGGTCCATCCTTTCACATATAAAATGCGAAATTATCTTTCTACTTGTGGGTTGGCCAGTGCTTTTTCCTGTAAACCAAACCCAAACTTTCTATAGATTCACAAATTCCACATTTTCCCCCACCAAAAACACATAAGTAGTTCCAGCTGCAGACTGTAGTGTACCTCCCTTGAGGACTCACACTGTTTCTTTGAGTGTGTACTGTTAAAATTCTCCTCAATAAATCCCTTTGTGCCTCTTACACATCCTGAGAATTATGTTTCTGTGATGGACGTCAGGCAGCCTACAACCTGTCCCATAATTTAGGTGAGTCATGGGTCTGCTATCTGTTTTGGGGACCTCCGGCAACAATTCTGGATTGAATGAATCAAAAACTCCAAAGTGGGACCCAGCAATTTATGGTTAACCAAGCCCTCCAGATGATTCTGATGTTCATGCTATATACTCTAACACTTGCCTAGCCCAGCCTCCTTCAAAGATAAGGACTAGGATTTATTATGGCCTCCATTGAGGCCACCTAATTGGAGCCCTCAGGCTCTCTTGTATGTACCTGTATTCTATTGGACTATATACGCAGAGATTTCAGCTTCCTAGAGACCAGGTTACAAAATCCAGAAGTCCCAGTGATATAGGGGGAACAGATGCCACTCCCAAAGCTGTATATATCCAAAGTACGAGTTCATGGTCTCTAAAATCGAAGAATGAATTCTAGAAACAACAGAGGTTAAGAGTAAGAAAAATTTATTGAGAGAAAGATAGCTTCTGTCTAAGAGAGACAGAAGGGGGATGGAAAAATGGATTGCCCCCTCACCCAACTTCTCAAAGGTGTTTTATGGCACAAAGTTACAAGGTGAGGCGGGTTCAAGGTGGGACAAAACTATAGTCAACTAGTAAGATTACAAGTACAGTTGCTTAGATAATATTGATCCGATGAGAAATTACAAGGTGGGCAAAGCTATGAACAACCAATAAGATTATGACAAGTATAGTGGCTTAGGTAATATTGCTTAAATGGGGATCCAAAGGGAAAGCAAGTCACATACCAAGTGTACAAGGAATGAGCAAGGATTTTTGGTAAGGGGTAGTTCAGGGATCTTTCTTGGAAGATCTTGGTCCCCCACCCAGGTGATTGATACCTATTTAGAATATCTATTACTGCTATTTATCCTACATGGGGGTGGTAGTTTCTCTCCTTTTACAATGCTACCTTCAGTGAATGTGTCTTGATTGTCCTCTGTGTTGGCTCCTTGACTGTCTTTCATGTTGGCTCCTCATAGGCTGGCCCTGTCTAACTGTCTACAAGATATCTAATTAACTTACTTATCTACAATACCAGGAGTCCCATCAACAGAGATGTTGAGGTGGTAAAAAGATTCTCTGAGAAAACTAAGTCCAGTGAGGTTGATCTTATCATACATGAGGTTGGTATGAATTTAAGGTTATGTGAGTGCGAATGTATAACCTGAGGCACTCATCGGAGGTCTGTCCTCAATAAGACACCATTTTAGAATGGAGTCTGTTCATCTGGCTTCCTGGTCCTGATGGCCAGACTTACCGCCTTTGTTAGTTTAGTGCACAAACATATGAAATGTATCATTAGCATCTTAAATCAGAACTTTTTTTTTAAAAAAGAGGACTTTAAGTAAATAAAACTTCACTATTGAACATATAACATAAATTCACATACCAGTTCAACTAAGCATGATTGTTAGCTATATGCAACAAACTCCTGTCAATATAGAATATCGTTCTGATGTTACATTTTTAGTACATTTTCACTAAAAAACTGGTGAAAACCTTAGGGAAATATCTCTGCCCTGCTATTTTTCTCTTGTTCTGGTTTTATGTTATCCAATGAATCTCTTCTAAGTCCCATCTATTCAGAGTCCCAAGATGTCTGCATTTGAATGATTCACTTCCCTCATCCTAATTGCAGGCATTTCCATTCTTTGTCAGCAAGTGCTCAAAGTTCATGTAGATAATAGAGAAGCTTCATCAACTATATAAGCAGAGCTTCTTTCTTTGATAGGAACTACTGTAAATTTCAATTCAGTTCTGAAACTTGAAGAGCCTTGCTTTTCTGATGGCTGCTATCTGTCCCTCTGAGGACTTTCTTCTATGTGGGTTTTTATCACAGCTTGCTCTTCCTCTTTGTCCTGAGTGCTTGCATCTCTGTGACATTTGTCACTCTGCGTTGAATAGCTGCCATTAATCCTTTGATGGAAAAGCACTCTCTGATTTGATGTCATTATGAAAGTGCTTCTCCCAGCCCCCTGAATAGAAGTCATTTACTGGTATTTCTCATGCGTTCCTGTCAAATAGCTCCTATTTTATGTAGCCACATAAAATATTTTTGTTTCACTCTTCCTTTGTATGACCATGTAAAATCAACAGACAAGTAATTTCATTAGAAGCATAGGCAGATATCTGCTGAAAATATAACTGTAAAGGGGGCTTTGACCTTTCTGAGAGAGAAAATATAGAGTAGTATGTTTAGGTAGACAAGGAGTCAAACTGTACTTGCCAAGATTAACGTTCACACTGAGATTGAATGGCATAAAATAGTGGGCTTTGTGTACATGGTTTAATGAACCCACTTAGAAGGACTGTGATTCCTTGGAACTGAGACCAAGACAGTGGCAGATCAGAATGGTCTGTTGGAAGATGTAGAGACTTCCTGAAAGCTATAGTAACTGAATTGGTGCTTATGGAGCCCACCAAAGGGAGGAAGTTAAAGACAGTCAAGAGACTAGTTAGGTGGAATAGTTGCTTGAGCAGAGGCCAGAATGAAGATTTAAGAATTAGTTCATTTTACCATACACCTCCATCAGAATCCTTGAATGATATTCTATTTCTAAATAAAAAGTTCTTAGAGCCAAGAAATTAGTCTTGTTAAAATTTCCTGGTCTGTGCCACAGAAATGTATGTAATATGTATCTAAGGTCAAACCCAGAAGATTCATCTTTATATAGTGGCCCAAGTGAATTTGCTTCATTTTCAAAAACACTGATCTTTAGAATAGAGGACAAATTACTAACTATAAAAGTTAGTGCCCTCTAAGATATTTGGTTTTTTTTCCTATGAAGTAATCCTTAATATCATCAAGTATAAAGAAATTTTCTTTCTTTATATTATTGCTTTCCATTGTCTTACCATAGAATTTTTAGAACCTAAGAAGGGCCGCTCATTTACTCTTCTGTCCTCTTGTACAAGATGGTGAGTGACCTAAGGAGAGAGATTTCCACTTGCTTTGGTTTTCCCAGTGTTTAGCTCAGTGCTCAGTAAAGAATGAGCTCTCAAAAAAAAAAAATCAGTATACTGTACTGTATCTTAAATGCCACCTAGTTAAATTATTGCCATCTCTTTAGGGGAACAGGTATTGTCAACTTATATTATAAACTAATTATAAAACCATTGCTTCGGGGCTGGGGATTTAGCTCAGTGGTTCTGCTGCTTGCCTTGCAAGCACAGGGACCCAAGTTCAATCCCCAGTACCAAAAAAATCCCAAAACAAAACAAACAAACAAAAAACCAACCAAACAAAAAAAAAACCCATTGCTTCATTATACTACATTATGTTTTATGATGTCATTGCTTGGCCTTGCTATGAGGGTATTGGTGATACCAAATAGTGGCTTCATAAATTGGGAAATGTTGCTTTCTCCTTTTTCTGAAGGAGATTGTTTTAGGTGTTTTTCTAGGGTATATACTTGTGGATTTGTAGAAATCCCACATGGAGCCCTTGACACTGCACATTCTCTCACTTGAGTGATAAACTCTTGAGCTATTCTTCCAAGCATAGCTCTCTCCCCGTCCATTCCCCCATATCTGTCTTGCTTGGCTTTTTACATACATTTCTGGACTCCTTACCCTAGCAGAGACCCTACCAGAAGAATAAGTATTCTTGGTGGCTCTAATTCAGCTTCTTTGTACAGTATATATCTTTTCTCAGGAAATGTTGAAAGTGTATCTCATTAGTTCTCCTCTCATGCCCTGCAATTCCTGGATGCTCAGTTAATAATGACCTTCAAATTCTGAAGGCTATAAAAAATGAAAACATTTCATCATATATGTTTATCCACAAGCTCTGGTGGACATACTTCATTATTTTCCCCAATAAGCTTTTCTCATGAAGCTTCATGCTGATGGCATGGTGGCAGTGGAAACCATTATTCTCCAACACGGATAATGTCTGGCTCAAGAGAGATGCTAGTTTTTTCTGTTACCCTGATCTCTACATGTAGCTGTCTTTGTTCCCTTTTGCCCTTTGATTTTTAGGGGTAGGAGCAAAAAATAGTATGTTTAAAATCCAGTCATCAATTAGATAAGGAATAGTTGAGGCAGAGAGAGGAACTGAGGAGGAATTCA